AATTTAAATTATATCTTTCTTTAATATATTATATTTTATTTAAAAATTTATTTATCATGACAATAACACATATATATATTTTTGTTTTTTTAAAAATATAGATGGTTGAAGATTTTTTGGCCGTGTTAAAAAATACAACAAAAAATATCGGCAATTCCTGAAAGGAATCGCCTATCAGTACAATTTGATTAAATAGCTATTCATATATCAAATGACAAAATGATTTCACCACGTGCTTTGCGAGTTCTTGATCTTTTAAAGGGTACAGCCTTTTTTCTTTTATTTCTTGTTATACGAGGTTGCTTGGTGTTTGCGCCTTTAGGCTTATGCACATTCACATAACAAGGTGTGGTACTGGTACCATAAAACTTTTGAAGATAGATTCCACCAGGATAACGCTTGGTAATTTGTCTGTTTCTGTTTAAAATAGGAACATACTGACCAAACCTAAAATTCCAAGTATACAACTTGTCCAAACGAGACCCAATTATCACGGTAGGTTCAACTTCAACAATCTTAGCAGCATTAATCAATACAAAAATTAAATAAAGATAATGCAAAGCTTATTAAATCTATAAGTAATGATCAGACAAAGACTATAAAAAATTTAACTAGTTCACATGAGAAGATCATCAAAAATCTAAGCAGTAATCATAAAGAAGTTATCAAGAATTTAAGCGATAATCAAACAAAGGTGGTGATGGGGTTGAGTGGAAATTATGCTGATATTGTAAAAACTATGAATAATAATGAGGTAAAAAAATCAAAAGATACGCATGACGCATATGGGAAGGTTATTGATTCCATGCAGACCAACTATAACAAGAGGTTGCAGAGTCAGGAGAATTTGATCAAGATGCTGGCCACCAGTAATATTAATGTAACGAATAAGTTGTTAGACCATGTGACTAGTACTAGTAAGGCAAAAAATGCCTCGGGGATAATATGGTAAATCAGTTGTTAGGTCATTTGATGAATAATAATAATAATAGTAAACCAAATAAAAATAATTTAGATGAATTAAAGAATACTTTAAAACT